ATCGGGCAGTGTTTCGTTCTGCTGTGCATGGGGTCGCTATGAGTCGGAAACGACTCGACGGCACTTAACAACAACAACATAAATGAGAAATAAAAGAAGTGAAATCCTTAGTCCAACAGGACTGCGCCCTGGAGTGTAGTAGGGAAGACACTAAGTTGAACATCTGGATACCCCAAGATCAAGATCACTGTAGCCTCAACTCACCAAACTCTCATCTCACGTGATTTAACTTGACAGTGGTATTAACATTCTCTAAGCTATTAGCCTTGCAACCTTGGATTTATCCTTGATTCTTCCTTCTCCTTTGATCTTTCCATACCTCTCTTAGAAGAGTCTTTCGATTTGATTAGTTCATATACCAGACAGTTACTGAATGCCTATTGTATGTTCTGGACAGGAGTTAAGGGGTAGAAAAGATCATTGTGGTAGTTACATTTGTATGTCAACTTGGCTGGACCTGGTTAAGTGGCTGGGCAGCTGGTGGTAGTTATTCCCCATGATGAGACTGGCAATCAACTCCATGGTGGGATCTACCACAAGCAGCTGAATAGCTGCCTTTAGGATATGGTCTGCTGCTTGTATTTAAGGAGAAGCCTTGGGAATGGTCTCTAGCCTATGGCATGCTTGGATCCTGCATGTAGCTATGTTGTTGCTCAGCAGCCTGCTATGCTCTGCCAACCTTGGGACTTTCAATGGACTTAAGTCAATAGCCTGCTGTGTGGTAACATTGGGACTGTGCCTTTTTACTTGTCAACCTCAGCAGCCAGCAGTTGTCTGAGTGAAGAAATGCCTCTAGCTCCAGTGGGCCAGGAGCAGGAGGCAGAGCTGGACCCCACGGTTGAGAGGTTTCACCCAGCCCCTGGAACTTGGCACTTTGAACTTGGACTTAAATCCTCCAGATTGTAAGAATAAACTCCTGTTTGTTAAGGCCATCTCATTTGTGGTATATTCTTACCAGAGTGGCACCAGGTAACCAGAACAATCATTTAGAGCTGAAATGCTCAAAAAAGTTCTTTATGGAGTTCAACTAACTTACTGCCATCGAGTCAGATCTGACTCATAGTGACCTCTTCTTGGGTTTCCGAGGCAGTACCACTACAGAAGTAGATTGCCTAACTTTCCTTCTGAGGAGTGGCTGGTGAGTTTGAACCACCAGCCTTTGAGTTAGCAGTCAAATACTTTAGGCATTACGCCACCAAAGCTCCCTCTAATGGGGTTAGATGATCATAATGGCAAAGAATGTAGTAGTATGTGGTCAGACAGACAAAGGTCTGAATCTTGGCCTAGTCATTTACAAGTTGTGACCTTGGGGAAAATTTCTGACAATTCTTTGTAACTGTACCCTCATTTGTAAATGAGGATAATGGTATTACCTCACAGACTTATGCAAGGAATAAATGAGACATACACAGTGGCTATTACTATAATTGTCATGGAGTAAGGCTGGATTTGAACATGCAGTCAAAGGACATGACTTAAGCAAGGACAAAGGAGTGGAAAGGATGGAGGCCTATTGAGGGGATGGTGAGTCACCTACTTGGGTTGAGGCCCAGAGTATGTATGAAATAGAGGGGAACAAGCCTAGAATGGCATATTGGGGTCATACCTTGGCATGGTTCAATATCAACTTGAGGGATTTGCAGTAAATTTGATAGTAAGGTGAAAACACTGAAGGTTTCAACAAAAGGGAGAAATATGACCAATATTTACTCTGACTTGATGTGAGAGAGGGGCAAAAATGGAGGAGATTCCAACATGGCTGAGATTCAAGATTGGAAAGGCACTGATGCCTTCAGCCAGAAACAGGACAGTTGGAAAGAGATACTGACTTGCAGAAAGACAATGAGCTAAGATTCAGCTCATTGAGATGAAGGATCTGGCAGTTCAGCCAAATAGAAACATCTAGCAGGCAGATGGACATGTGAGACTTGAGTTTGAGAGGAACGTTGGGGCTGGAGGGACAAACTTGGAAAATGTCCATGAAAAATAATAAAGCCACTAGCAAGGGCAAAGGCCCTGGGAATATGCAGAGGGAAAGGCAAGGGAAAGAGAACCTTAGGAAATACTACTCTAGACGAAAAGGAGCTCTGGTGACATAGTGCCTAAGGCATTTGACTGCTAACCAGAAGGTTGGCAGTTCAAACCCAGCAGCCACTCCACAGAAGGAAGATGGAGCAAAGATTTACTATTTCAGGGGTCGTTAGGAGTTGGAACTGACTCAATGGCAGTGAGTTTGGTTTTTGATTTACTCTAGATGGAGGGGAAAAGCAAGAGGAATCAAAGAAGCTAAGAGGCGAAACATAGCATAAAAGGAAGAAAATGAAAAAATAAAGTAAAAATAAAAAAACTCACTGCTGTCGAGTCAATTCGACTCATAGCAACCCTCCTTGAGTTTCTGAGGCAGTATCTCTACAGAAGTAGATTATCCAATCTTCCTTCCAAGGAGTGGCTTGTAGGTTTTGAACCCCCTACCTTCTGGTTAGCAGTCAAATGCCTTAGGTACCATGCCACCAGAGTTCCTAAAGGAGGAAAAGGAGATCAACAGATAAAGCCTGAGAAAGGACTTTGAATGTGTTAATAAAACAGACACAGGTGACCTTCAACAGTACATCTGAGGAACCAAGTCATCCTCCTTCATAGATAAATATTGGCTGCTTGAAGTAGCTGCCACATCTTAGGCTGAATGGATTCCCCAAAACAACCTGTATCCACTGCCATGGTCTATTCCATGTTGGGCTTCTTAGCCTGGCCTAAAAAGGAAATTGGTTACTCTGACCATAAAGTGGTGGGAAAGAGACCTCACAGCCAAAAGAGTTGTTTTTAACTCTTGTACCTTAGACCTTAAGGATTCATTTAACCTCATTACATGCCTTCAGACCATCTAAGTTAGATATAAATTGATCTCCATTTTTAACAGCTCCAGAGGCAATTCCTCAACAACTTTTGGTAGTCTGTTCTATAGTTTCTGAAAATCCTTGCCAAGCTCAACTAGAAAATAGGTCCTTGTGATCCAGAGTTTCTAAAAGGTTCACTTGACAAACTGAGTAATGAGTCAACTGATAGGAAAAACATAGTCACAGAGTGCTCTGCTTCTGGAAGGATGGAGTGCTGGGTCATCTGCAGCTGAGGGAGTAGATTGTAAGGAGGTGGCAGAGGATCCTGGAGAGCGTGCTGCGGAGCTGAACTTGAGGATCTGAGGAGCCCTGTCATGCACAAGAGCATCAAAAGCATGAAGTACAAAGGAGCATTTGTGCTGTGCCCTGAGAATAAACTCAAATGAAGTTCTTTACAAAGAATGATTGTCACCAAGTTCTTCTCACTGAAACTTTCCCATTTCTTGGTGCCTAAAACTGATAACCTTGAGATCATGTACAGTGATCAAATACAAAGGGCATTGCTTAACATCAAGGAGGCACACTGGGATAAAAGAATGGGAGGACAAAGAAGTACAGAACAGAACAAATTAGGGTGAAAATATATGCTTGCTGTTAGCTAATACAGAGCTTATAGTTAAGTTATGGGAAATAATGTTTGATCAGATTTTTAAGAAAAATTTTAGTCATTCAAACACATACTGAATAACTCCTAGGTGCCAGGCACCAGACTGAGCAACATGAATATGATGACACATTCCCTTGAGAAGCAAAAAGCCTAGTGAGGGAGATAAGTGTGAGCAAACAACTGGGAGAACAGCATGGAAGGTGCTAATAGAGGCAGGTACATGATGCTAACAGAGCAGGGGAGACTGACTACGCTGAAATGGAAATAGACTTAGAAAAGCAGCATAGAGAAATGGTAAAACTCTGGGGACTTCATTGGAGTTCCATGTGGCAGTCCATTGGCATTTGCAGACTGAATATCCACAGATGAAAACAGTCTCCAGTGAGTGAAATGAAAGGCCCCTGCCATGAGGAATTATGCTGAGGTATGACTCTGAATGGCTTGCTAGAAGACTAGAGTGGCCTTGCCGGCCATTTAGCTATTGAATGGATCATGAATGACACATGGTTTTCACATTTCAACACATTTTTTTTTCCATTTAAAAATTAAATTTATTAAATTCTTTGAGGCCTTAAAAGACATTTATTTATTTATTTGTATTACAGTTTGGGTGGGAGCTCTGGTGGCATAGTGCCTAAGGCATTTGACTGCTAACCAGAAGGCTAAGGGTTCAAACCCACCAGCCACTCATTGGAAGGAAGATTGGACAATCTACTTCTATATAGATACCACCTCAGAAATGCAAGGAAGAGCCACTATGAGTCAAATCACCTCAAGGGGCAGTGAGTTTGTTTTTGTTTTCTTTTTGGTTTTGGTAGTTTGGGTGAACATTTACAGAGCAAATTAGTTTTCTACTCAACAATTTATACACATTTTGCTTTGTGACATTGGTTGTCAATACTCTAGCTTTTATCTTCTCATTGACATTTACACAGAAATTCTCATACTGTGATTAATTGTTTTTTTCTTTGCACAGTCAGGGAAATATGGAGTTAATAAAGAAAAGATATATGTAATCAAGTAAGGAGTTTATTTTAATGGCAAAAATTATTTAAATAGCTTTAGAAATTACTGTAGCCCAAAATTTATAGAACTATTAAGAGTCTGAAAGGATCCCTTACACTTTTTAGTTATGCTATACTGCATTTTATGGTGGAAATTATATGCCATGGTGACATTCATGATTTTGGAGACTCTGAAAGGTCATGAGATGAATCCTTCAAGAATGTCAAGGGTCCAACTCTGTGAGTGATGAGCTATATTTTATTGGCACTCTACTGTATATAACAGTGTCTCATTTTAAGTTCAAAAAATAAGATTTTTGCCACTTTACATGATCTCCCTATGATTTGAGGAAGGCTTTTATTTCCCTTCCCTGTTTATGAAGGCTTAGCATGTGACACTTGAAGACAAAGGAAGATGTTTATCCACAAAACTGAAGCCTGGAAAGTAACTCAAACCAACGAAAATAATTATATTCTTCACCTGATGCTTTTTGCCTCAATCATTTTCTGGTACCAAATAACCAGTGAAACTCAAACTTCGGTCCTCTTCTTAAAACACCCTCCAAATACTTTGAACTTAACATGACACAATCCACCACTGCAACCTGCTTCAACTCCTATCTTCTTGTTTTGACTATTAGGAACTCATACACTGGGTCACTCAACTCAGAAAACTCAAAGAGTTCCCCTAGATTCTCTCCTCATATCTCATCAGTTATCAAATACAATCAATTTTACCTCCTAAATGACTCTCAAATGCAGCCAGGTTTCTCTATCCCCATGGCACTGCCCTAGCTCAGGGCCAAATTGTCTGTCAACACAGTATCCAGACGCCCTGCCTCCAAACTGTCCATCCTCATTCCTCCACACTGATACAGAGTACTTTTTCTCAAAAGGTAAACCTTGCCTTCATTGGCATCCACTGAAGATAAGACTGTTGTTAGATGTTATCAAGTCATAGCAATCCCATGTGACAGAATATAACTACTATCCCCATAGGGTTTTCTAGCCTTTTTTTTATGGAAGCAAATCGCCAAATCCCTTGAAGCAGCTGTGTGGATTTGAACTGCCAAGCACTTAATTTTTGTGCCACCAGGGCTCCTGGTGACACTCTAGGGACTTCATTGGAGCTCCATGTGTAAGATATCTTCCTATTTATAACTAGTTCCTAATGTGATTCTGATGCCACAGTGCACACATTAACACTTTGAGAAACACCTTTACAGTAAGCTATTTATCATCCTCAACATGCCATATTCTTTCAGTCCTCTATGCAAAACTCTCCTCCTGCACTGTCCTTTCACCCTTTTCTCTTCGACAAGCTTCTATCCTTCAAGATCCAATTCAAATACCACTGTTTCAACAGTTGTTTGTTAGTTGTCATCGAGTCAGCTCCAACTCACAACAACCTTAGATATAACAAAATGAAAATATTGCCCAGTTCTGTGCCATCTCTATGACTGTTGGTATGTTTGAGTCCATTGTTGCAGCTAACGTATCCTATTTTGAGTGCCTTCCAATCTACAGGCTCATCTTCCAGCATTATACTGGAGCATATTCTATTGTGATCCACAGAGTTTTCATTGGCCAATTTTCTGAAGTAGCTCACTAGGCCTTCCTACTCTTAGTCTGGAAGCTTTGCTGAAATCCATCCACCATGGTGACCCTGCTGGTGTTTGAAATATCCGTAGCAAAGTTTCCACAGTTTCCAGCAACACACAAGCCACTACAGTAGAACAAACTGGCAGACAGCTGGTGGGCTCTCAGCAGAGCCATGTGTAAATCTCTCAGTGACTCTCCTGTGTGGGCTCCTACAAATATGCATCCCAATTAAAGCATGTGGGTCCCAGTTTACTATGACAACTTGTTAACAAGTTTATCTTCTCCAATCATCTGTATGTTCTTATTCAACTTTGAATCCCTAGTACCTAGCACAATGCTTGGCTCCTGGCAGCCACTCAAATGTTTGCTAAATGAAAGGACCCATAACTGAAGTTGTGACTATACAATAAAAGAGAAGCATGTCATCAAAGGGCAAAAGTGGCCTAAGGCCTTTGACTGCTAACTAGAAGGCTGGCGGTTCAAACCTACCAGCCACTCCTCGGCAGGAAGGTTGGGCAATCTACTTCTTTAGTGATACTGCCTCGGGGACCCACTATGAGCCAGGTCCGACTTGATGGCACATAGCAACAACAACAACATAAAGTAAATCAAGGTGTTGGAAAAGTTGAAACAAGGATGAAGAGTACCTTTAGACCTCAGCTGATTTTTAAATTTACTTATCACATCTGCTCTAGCTAAACACTAACTCTAATCAAAGTTTATTAGTGGTTACTAGGAGGTAAGTGGAAGTCATTGTGTTTAGGAAGCCCTGAGTTTCTGTTTATGGTGATGGTAATTTGGTAATGGATATTGGTGATGGTTGCACAACATGATTAATGTAATTTATGTCACTAAATTGTACATGGAAAATGTGCTACGTAAATAATTTTCCAACAACAAAAATAAAACACTACTCTAGCCTGCCTCCTATGACTTGTGAGAGTATTTCAGACTTGGGCACCACGTCCCACAAATGTTCAATGATCATGGAAAAAATGCTTAAAAAGAAGGTATTGTTCTGGTAAGATGGCAGACTAGGCAGAAGGACTGCACAGACCCTCTTCAACAAAGAAAAGGGAAACCAATTAACACAGACACAGAAGATAATCTTGGACCCCTAAGCCTTGAAGGGAAGGATACAAAAGTGGACTAAACCCCA